CGGTTCCCCAAAGTAACGCATGGCTTTCATCTCCTCTTGTGTAAATACCACCTGTTCACCCCCAAACTTGTAGGCCTTCCGTATCTCGGTTTTCTCCACCACTCTTGCGGTCTCTGCTGCAACTTTCGTAGTGACACCCGTGACGAGCTGGGCTCGCTCTGCAGAGGTAAAGACATAGTGAGACCTTGCCTTCTCCTGCCGTTTATACAGCATGTACCCTTTTACGCCTATAAGCAAACCCGGCCCAATCTCCATCTTCGTGTTGAAGAGCGCACGCTTTGCCGTGGACTTTGAGAGTATAGAAGAGACCATCTCCTTCAGTCTCACCGTCCCGTCCGCCGTCGCAGACACCACCATCTCCGTCTCCTCATCCTCTCCCGGTGCTCTATACACCACATCGTCCCAAAACCGCGCTGCATCAAAACCGCCCGGCTTTCCCGGCTGCGCGATAAAGAACGGCTCGATCCTGACGCCGAGATCATACAGATCCCGTGCGCGGGTGATGGCGCTATTCCGCAGCGCCTTGTCCTTAGCATGCGGGTCATCGTTATCCGTAACCACAAACAACCGCCTCGACTGGAAGTTCGCCGCCTTGGTGGTAAAGATCTGGTTTGCGGCAAAAAGCACATTAGCCATTGAGACGGGCTCCTCCGACGGCGCGAGGAGTGCCGAGAACTCTGCGGGGTCGGAGATGAGATTCTTGAGCTCGCGGATTCCGGTGGCATCGGGGATGTCGAGGTCGAGGAGGAGGTAGCAGTGCTGGTAGCCGCTGTCGGTGGTGAACTTTGTGATGGCCGTGCCAAAGAGGAGGATGCCAATCATGTCGGCGGGGTTGGAAATGATGCGGGATTGGAGGACGGAGTAGGCGCATTGGAGGGCGGTGAGGACGGCGGAGCTTGGGGTAGCCTTCTTGGATTTGGGCTTGTCGGTGTCCTTGGGTGAGGAGGGTGGTGGGTCTTCGGTGTCATCATGGGTGGCGAGCATGGACTCGGAGACCTGGGGAATGGGAGGTCAGTACTATGGACTTGGAACGGGCATGAGGGTATTAAGCTGTCTCTGCATACGTGGATTGCAAATAAAATGGCATCTTTTTGCGATTGGTATTGCTATATTTTCAGAGAAAAAGGAAGCCAGCGTTAGCAGCAGCTCTTTATGCACGTAGAAAGAAAGAAAGAAAGAAGGGCAGTGGGCAGTGGGCAGTGGGCATAGATAGCAATATGATCTACCTGGACATCTTCCTCCTCCTCCTCCTCGTCAAGCTCATCATCCTTGGGCGTCCATTTGCGTTCCGTCGACATGTCTGCAGCTGTGGGGATGTCGATTGGAGAGAGGAAGCAAGCTTGACAGACTCGGTGGGAAGAAGACACAGCAGATATATAGCGAGACAAGACAGATATACAAGTCCCCAGGGAGACGCGTCGTTGCAGCAGCAGCGCGTCGGCCACGCGACGAGGAGTCATAAAGTGATTCTTGGCGGCGTGACCATCGCAACTTGCAAGCGGACGGGCTTGTCCTCATTGGGAGCTTGCCTACTAATTGACATCAATGACGTTCACAGCCACACAGCGCGGGCCGCCACTTCCCCCGCTTGGTTGCCATACATGCGAGTGAGAGCCAGTGATTGAGATCCCTACCACCTTCGAGTGCATGGAGCAAATGGGCCCAGCTGCGCGGCGGGTAAAGTAGAGTGTGTACCTACTCTGGGGCAGGTATGTACATGTATGTACAGTAGGCAATGGGGAACCGGGACGACTAGGAACATGTATGGGCTGCCTACCATTGGTGAGCGAGGAGTATTTGGTAGGTAGTAGGTACTACTCCATCTAGGTCATGGATGTAGAATAAGTAGAGTAGTCACGTACCTACTCTACCTACATATAGTTTTTATCTGGTACATCACGCAAGCTCCACCCTACTCTAATTAAGTGAGTACATAGGGCAGATAAAAGTAACCATGTATGGTATGTATGTAGAGTACGTACCGGGTGTTGAGGGTAAATACGAAGAATCTGATAAGAGAATCTTGCTGTGAAATAGGTGTGTTTATCTTATCAGATTCTCGGTATTTATGGTTAACCCCCGGTACAGTATGCACGCATCGCCTCTCGGGTACTTAGGCTCCATCGCAATGGGCACCCTGCAGCTCTGCTTTCTTTTTTTTTTTTCACTTTTTTTTTTTCACGTTTTCTTTTTCTTTCACCCCGTCCTCTTTTCAATGTGTTTCGATTAACGATGGTTTGGAACTAGTGGTACATGTACATATTATTCAAAGCGTGGATGAGTTTTAGGGTATATACTTTGTAGGAAAGGAAGAAAATAAAACCCGCATGGAAGTCGTACCACCCCTCCCCCAAGACGCCGAAACACCGATGCCCCCCAGTCTATGGTTCGTGAGGTTTTCGCAGAAATTATATCCGCATGAGAGTAGCATATTTCCTTCCCAATCAATTTTTCCTTCCTCCCCCCCCCCCCCCCCCCCAAGCCTCTCACCCTGTTTCAATGTTTGTGCTTATTTGGTTTCCTACAACTCAAAAGATGCCCATTCGTGCTCCCCAAGTCTCACCCTTTGGTGAAACAACGATCTGGTAAGGGAACGGGTTTAAATCGTTTGTGGTTATTGGGGGGATATGGTCCTTCCGTAGACTGGCAGTGGTAATGATCTCGAGTACCGCTTTCTGGAGTTGGTGTTCAAGTGACGCTCGGGCCCTCGCGCGGTCTGGAGGAAAAAAGTCAGTAGGCACTTCTTCACTGGCGGTTGGGTGAAAGGTTATCCTACCAGAATCGGTCTTAATGGTAACTAGTGTGACATTGAGCACCCACTGTTCCCAACAAACTTTCTCCTCTGCCTTGGAAAACCATGCTTTCTTTGGCCTTCTCTCGTAGAACTCGACTGCAAAAAAGAAAAAGAAAAGAATCATGTCAACAATCGTCTGCGCAAACTACTACCACGGACACCTTCTCAAAGTATCAAAAAGGGTTATAGTCACCTGCTATTTGTCCCCGATGAGGCTTTGATCCAGTACTAGTAGAGGCTTCTATGGCCTTGATGAGTACATTCGTGCGCTCATCTATAAGCTCCTCAAGTTCAGGGTCGTCCACTGCAGGCTGCGTGTTGGTAAGCTTCGAGTTCCGTATGGACTATTATTTCTGCTGCAGCAGACATACCAATGTAAGGTCGAGCAAGTCTCGAGTTTTCGGACGAACCGTGGGGAAGAAACGATGGAAGAATATGGTAGAGATGACACCTTAGATTGAGACAAAGGCCGAAGAGCATATCTATTAGCATACATCTAACCCTTAAATGCGGGAATGAGAGAGAAGCGTAGGAAAAGCAATACCTTTTACGATATCTTTCACGAGCGCCCGGTCGGCGAGAACCTCCAGTGAGAAGACGGGCGGCCGTTCCATCCCATCGTCTTGAAATGAAGACACAACTACTATCTCGATATCACCACTTCAGGCAAAGAGCTGGCGGGTTGATGTGCTTAAGTAGTCTATCTGCTTTTGCTTGGTAGTAATTTTTTCCTCGGGGGGTGAGCAGGGGCAGTTTGCACGGCTGGTTATTGGCGGTTAGCGTCGTTGTTGTTGCCGTTTTTAGTGTGAAGCTCCCGGTTGACTAGTACTTGTTAGGACGAGAGTGGTTGATTTGTGAAGGTCATCCTCTGCAAATGAGGGACAAGTTAAATGAAGAGAGAGAAAGAAGAGTGTAGAGATGTAAGAAGGGGTGGGATGGGGGAGATAAATGAGATGGGAGTCGAATAAATGCTATATGATCAGGTTCTAGGAATGACGAAAAAGGAGGGGCAGATGTATGTAGCACCAAGCAACACCTGAGGGGTATCATTCACTCTGAGGATGGGATGTTGCAGCGGGTGATGCTGGTGATGATGATGCTGATGGCCCTGACTAAGGAAGGAGATAATACAACCAACGGATTGGGTATATACTTACATGGGGGAGGGGGGAGGGGGGGATTTGGCAACCTCAACAGCCTTAAAAGCCTTAAGATAGGTTGAAGTTATGGATGCTCGAACTGAAATATAGGTACCGTAGTATCTGATGGGTGGGGTGGTGGTTACTGAAAGGTGTGGTTGTACTCCATACTTGTGCTGCCGTGTGAAAGCCCCCAGGTCACGTGTTGGAACACCTGACCAGGGATGACTACATGTAACAAAGGATTCAGAGGATTTGTCTCTCGAATACATACATGTACTTATATGTACATATATGTGAAGTTATGTATGTACGTACTGCAGCCAAATAGCGTGCTGGTGAAGAACAGTTTCTACTTTGTAGGTACATCTCTACGAGTAGCAAAAGGATCATTGCCACTTTATGTGAGGCCTATAAATGGCCAGTTCCTTACGTTCTACGAATAGATCTCTTTGCAGTTTCTCCCCCAAATCATATTTCGAACCCTAACCCATATTCATGCTGATTTGGTCACTTCTGAGCTTATCACGTGACCGAAACGCTCTTCGAATCCGGACACCTAAGAGACCAGCCTTTGCCGCCCAGCAAAGAAATGGTGCCTAGGCAGTAGTAGTAGGTACAGATCCTTAGACCTCGGCCACCCGCGGCTGTAACTAGGTAGCAACCATTCAGGAAGCAGCGCTCGTGAACCAAACATGTCGAAACAACTCCCTTGCCCTCACAACCAAATTTCTCACGCTCCAAGTACTACCAGTACGTAAGATAACAGCGCTCAGTATAACTCGCACTCAGACGTGTTACTGATCCGATATACCTACAGTATTGCAATCAACTATCCGACAAATAGAGGCATAGAGAGCTCGAGAAAGGTACAGTGGCAGAAGAAAAAGTGCGTGTTCAGTATCAAGAGCTATTCCTGTCCAATCACTCGTTTCCTCCACCCCACCCCTATCCTCCACCTAGCTCAATTTGTCCCTTCTCCGCCATGAGAATATAATCACCAACAGAAATTAGATCTCCTTCATCTTTCTACTGTTCTCATTCTCCAACACTTATATATCACCTCAATGTTCAAAGCTACGCGTAACTTTCTCAGGCGCAACCGCACAAATTTCGCTATCGGCTTTGGTCTTGTTGGCGTCGGCTATCTCGCAACCAACTATGTCATATCAAAATTCGCAGATGCCAGGGACCGTATGTCAAGTGACCGACGAGCTCGCGAGAAGTAATTGATTCGTATTCTCTCTGCCCTGCCATGAGACTCAATCCTGTGACCCCCTCATTGTGTCTCATGGTCCCCGCCGCTCCTCAATATTGAGTTCTTTCGCCGAGTAGTGTGGCTGATAGTGCGAACAGGCTCACTCGAAGATTCGAACAGTACCAACAGGACTGCACGTTGACAGTCCTTGCGCTGCTCCCCACGGCTACCGAGCACATTCTCGAGGAGCTACCCGTCGAAAAGTTGACCCAAGAACTGCAGCAGAAGAAGGCTACACGGATCGCAAAAACCCAGTCAGTGGCAGATGCTTCAGAGGCGCCCACGGCTGCAACTTTTCCTCAAAAGGATGATGATGCACAGTCGCTTCAATCTTTTGCCTCAGAGTCTTTTGTCATGGCAGCAAAGGATGGAGAGGAAAAGCCCCGGAAATCAAAGAATAAGCTCTGGGATGAAATCAAGATAAGCTGTATGGTGGCTTCTTCTGGAATTGGTGCTTTACGGGTGTTAGATTTATAACTTAGCTGATGAAATGAAAATGATGATACTGCAGCTTTAACAAGATCGTTGACACTTATTTACACACTGGCGCTATTAACGATCCTAACTCGGGTTCAATTGAATCTTCTTGGCCGCAAAAAGTACCTTTCCTCCGTTGTTTCTAACGCTGAACGCGAGAGTGAACACACCATTCATATGGAAGAAGAGGGCTATGGTACGGATATGGCGACGAATGATCAGTACTTGACGTTTTCATGGTGGCTCCTTGATAGAGGATGGCGAAATGTTGCTGAGAAGGTTGAGCTGGCCGTTAAGCAAGTCTTTGGGCCGTAAGTTACACCGCCGTGAAATCGGCGCTATGACATGGTGGATTATAACAAATTTGGTTACTAACAAGATTGAGCTTGTAGTCGGACCCCTCGAGATACCATATCATTAGGCCAAATGAAAAAGTTGACGGCTCAGACTAGAAAAATAATTGAGGGTGAAGGAGCAGAATCAAGGTATTTTCAATCAACTATAGGCCCTCAAGTCATGAGTCGCATATCAGGGCTTTTCATCTAAAGTGTATGTAGTATACGATGGCTTCTCTTTCTTCTACCCCCGAGGTCGGAGGAGGCGATGGTTCTCGCGCAATCTTCAACCTCAACCGCCGAAGTCAAAGAGGGAACCAATACCGACCCGGTTTCACCATCTCTCCGTAGACTACTCGACGAGACATCGGACTTAATCGACTCCCCAACGGCCAACACGGTCATGACGCAGATGCTCAACGCAGCGTTCACGTTTCTTCTCGAGTCAAAATTAACAGATCATGCCTTTAAGCCCAAGGCGACCGCACTGCCACCGACACAGCCAGCAGAGGAGGCAAGAGGTAACGGGGAGGACAATGATGTCGGGGATGCGGCGACCACAAAATTTGCAAGTGTATTGGCGGTCCTGACTAGAGAGGCACACTTGATTGGGAAAGACATGCCGAATGAGTACTTACAGGTATGTCTAGCCTAAAATGTTTTTCCCTTCCCTTTTCTTTTTCTTTACCTTCCAATTCCTTTTTCTACCGCTTCTCTTCCCCCTTGGTGGTTTTGTTTGCAATCACTCTATGCCGTGGATACATAAAATACCTTGTAAACAGGGGATGGGGAATATGTGGGGTGCTGCGGTTGGGTGCTCTAATCTGCTGTCGTGCTGCTGTGCTAATTGATGGGGTTGAATTGACTGGACAGGTAATGGAGCAACAAAAGGATCTGGAGGCGTTTGGCGCTTTAGTTTATTCGTCTAATTTTGACTACGTTGCGCAATCGGGAGACGATGGTGTTGCGGCATAAAATCTGTTGCTTCTTGGACCGCTTTTTTGTAAGTGAAAAAGAATCTTAAACGCTTGTTAGATGTAGTTAGATAGAGTACCCATCTTCTTTTCTACGTACTTCTAAAACAGAAGAGATCTGTCCTTTATATGTTACGACATGGGAGCGATGAGCAGGTACCTCTATGTAACATGTATTATCCTCCCGGATGAACACTGTCGTAATTGGAGTCCTCGCCAAATGTATTGCGATTTATGAGAACTGAGTCAAAATTGCGATTTGGGATTCAAAGGGTTGTGAAAGACAATTAGATTACAAGAATCGAAATCCCCTAACTTAACAGCCACACTTTTAGAAATCACAACTTATCTAGGACCATGATTTAACTGATTAAAACTATAACCGGGGTAGACTTCAAGAGCACCCTAACATTTCTTGAAGAGAAGGTTTTGTTTAAGCAAGAAAGTTTCTTCGACAAGATTCATAATTCCATTCCTCGTTGTACAATGGGGCTTGACATCGGAAAAAAACATGGAAACAAAGAAACCCTAGCCTACAAGAAAGAAAAGATGCATTCTAGAAAGAAAAAAACCATCTTCATTACCAATACTCCCAGAATTCCAATCCCCCAACCCATTCACCAATAGTATTTTCCCTCCCATTTTTGTTCCTGATTCACGATATCAAGGTCTCATTTTCGTTCCGCCATCTGCAACTATGACAACATCATCGTAAGTGCTTACAAAGTCTTGTCAAGGCCAGCAGCGTCGGCCTTCGCACGAAGGTTGGCTGATGCAGGGTTGGTGTTGGATCCTGCGAACCTCCTCGAAAAAACGGGAAGAAGGAAAGAGCGGTAAACGACCTGGGCACCGCTATTCAAAAGAAGACAGGGTATTAGCGTTGACTCGAGGGCCAATCGGGTATGGAGAGTGGGGAAACTGCAAATGGAAAAAAATACCTGAACTGGGGCAATCCCAGCCACATGATCAGGCCGAACTTGAAAACGAAGTAAAATGGGAGCCAGTATGTGACGGAAAACGCAGATTCAAGAACGTTGAAAAAGGCGAAAACAACCCAGTAACTAAAATAATTAGTCAAATGTAGGGAACGACTGATGACCAAGGGGCGGACTTACGTGAGCCATTGGGTATCGTCAACTTTAGTTGTAGTAAAGAGAGCGTTAAGTGAATAGTAACCAGGAATGAGAAATCCGGCCAAGTTCGTCAAGAATTGACCTCCGTAGTTGATGAAAATGAGGAAGAAGTAAACGAATCCCAATCCACCAATAACGTAAACCTTAGGAACACCTGAGGGGAGTCGGTTAGTATAATCATTCGAGAGAAAAAAAAGAAATAGAAGGAATAAAGAGAATAAAAGGGATGTAGATGTGAATTACCAGTTTGACTCTCTAAATTGTTCAAAGCTGGATATTTGGAGAGCTAAACATATACGAGTCAGCTAATTCATAATCAATAACGAATACACTATAGATGTTTCTCAATAAGAACGAACCTCTTTGTCGAGCTGGGAAACAAGATGTTGGGCTTTATCTTGGAAGGACATGGTGGCAGATGTGATAAGACTGAGTGGACGTTTAAGCGCTAAAGGACTGCAGGGTCGAGTTTCCTTTGTTTTGGGAGCTAATTGTAGATGACAGAAGTTAAAAGGAAGAGGTGAGGAATGGGGACGGATCGGGGTACTTGTAGTTTGGCGAAGATGAAGACGTGGAAGGACTATGATGAAAGACGGTTGTGGGCGAGCAGGCTTGGGTGACGGTTCCTCCGTTATCTTGGATTGGCGCTGGTTGGCTGCGTGGTTGTGCTGGCTTCACTAGGGGGGCTGGGCAAAGACCCCCGGAGAGAGCGAATTACGTCAACTGAATTTACAGCCGCAGAGAGTTAACATGTGTTAACCGCCACAACGAGCAGCTCGTCCCAGCTCTATTTTTATAACCTGAAGGTTGAAGAAGAGACTCCAAGCAGAGTGGTAGGTTTTTCCGGAAGTAGGTATCACAAGATAAGCATGATGGTTCCCGAGTACTGACTCAGCATATCCCATTACATAAGGCAGCAGAATCAAAGGCTTTTCGTTGTCCGGGCGACATACCAACCCACTCGCTCACACCTGCGTTTCCGCGTTTCCCTCAGGTCCAGCGTCTACCAAATCCCCGCCTCTCACGCACACTTCATAGAAATCAAAAAATTAGAGTAGATCAACATTTCATCTACGATAACATCGCGACAACTTGTATTTTTTTTTTAAACATCTCCATCTCGACCTGTTGAAGGGAAAGTACTGGGTCCGTGGTGTTTGCGTTTGTGAGACCTTCACACAAAGTTCTGTCCTCGCTTTGCCGCTTTATTTACACGCCTCGCTTGTGGATCTAGACGTCGTTCGCTCATCATCCATCAACAACAACAACGACAACAACACCACACGCTGCAACCAGAAAACCCCGACTCAGCTGCTGCAACCACAGCACCGTCCTGGAAACACACCCCAGTGTTGCCCCACCAACTCGACTCTGTCTAGTGTCAACACAACCGCTGCAACTCCCGTTCCCCTCATCAGCCGCTATGGAAGACTCCTCGGGTTCTGGCTCTCCGCTAGCTCAAGGTAATACTCCAATTTGCGTTTCTCCAATTTCGTAGGGTTGTTCTTGCTTTGGCTTCGATTTCGGTTTGTTCAGGATCCCATACTGACTCCCATGTTCTTTACCAAGGCCCAAATTCTTCTGGGCGTTCTCATACTACACGCTCTAGGTCCCGTTCCATAGTGTCCAATTCCGGTGTCACGGGCCACACAAATGTCCATGCCAGACTGCCTTCAAACATTCCACAGTACAACCAGGACACTCATCCCCTGACCGATCCTTCTCTCCTAGCATTGACCCAGCAGCAGATTCAAGAGAATCAACCCCCCATTGACACTGCACTATTGGGATCACCATCTATGCTTTCTCCCAGCACATCATTCCCCATCGACCCAGCTCTTGGTGGTGTACCGGAACCTTCTCCTTCCCCTGCCGTTGGCTCAACTTCCACACCCGTTCCCGAAATGCTCAGCCTCAACCAGGAAGTGCAACCAAAGGAGGAGGATACTCGCGAGTTTGAGACTGTAATGGGCGAAGAGGAGAATCCTGGTCCCTCATCAGGCCGGAATTCAAAGAGAACATCTGCAGTTGTTGAGGATAACGATGCAGAACTTCGTCGACTAGCGGAAGAGACTCGAATGGTACCTTTAGACGAGCTTGCTCGGAGGGTCCGGAATGATGAGAATTCTCCTTCAGCGGAAAAGACAAGACAGGTTTATGGATTAGGATGGTAAGCTTCACTTATATCAAAACCCGGGGGTGATGACCAGATGAGAACGATGCTTACTAAATTTCTCGGGGATTAGGCTGCAAAAGAATTGCGAGAGAGTCCCAGACGCCTCTGTCGCTGTACCGCGCAACCGTGTATATGCCCGTTATGTGGGAATCTGTGCAAATGAACGCATAAAGCCTTTAAACCCTGCATCGTTTGGGAAACTTGTTCGGCTCATGTTTCCAGAAATTAAGACTCGCAGACTTGGTGTTCGCGGACAATCCAAGTACCACTATTGTGGTATTCGCCTCGCTGGCGAGCAGTCATCCCCTAAAGTCTCGCAAGGTTCAGGTTCCGCATCAGGATCGGAACCACCCGCGCAAGCGGCTGGGGATGATCATCTGCAAGTCTTCAACCCTTCAGCTCCTTTTTTGGCTGAGTTACTGACCGTTGACAGAATGAGTAATGGCTCGGCTCAGCCCTTCAGTAACTCTTTTCAAACTTCAATAGAAAACAACATCGAAAATTCGTCATTCTACAAAACTTCGAGCGTCTCCACTGAATATCCCATATCTTCATTCCTCCATCAAGAATTATTCTTTTCCCGTAACGAATCTGACCATCTTTCGACCCCAAATGAAATCCTCAAACTACCAAACATCGATCTTTATGCCCCCCTAGGCACAGACCCAGATATCGCAGCCACTTTAACTGCTATATACAGATCCCATTGCACTTCCCTCGTAGAATGCGTACGCTATATGCGATTAAAACAATTCCATCAGCTGTTTATATCTTTTCATGGCACCCTCACAGCTCCTGTCCAAAAACTTTTGGGTGAACCCTCATTGGCTCTTTGGATTCGAGAGTCTGACTGGGTCATGTACAAGGTCGGAATTTCATTTCCAATTTATCGGGCTCGACTGACGTCATTGCCCAGGAAATGATACGGTTACTTTCTCCTTTAGCTTTACAAGTCGTGCCACCCTTTGTTGTAACAGCCCTTCGGCACCTCTCAACAAATCTTACCGCCCATATCATGACAACATTCTCCGTTCAACCTCCGCATGTCGTCCAGGCAAAACTAATACCATCCAGTATTTTTTCAAGTCTCTTAGATCGCTTATTGCGAGTAAACGATGCTGCGCATGCAGCGGCTAGATTTCTCGGTAACCCCCCGGACCGAGGGCAAATGATAAAAGACTGGAAAGAATTCGTGAACGCCCAAACAATTGTGGATAGAGAACTTCCGTGTGGTGCAATGTCTGTCGTGGAAATTTTACATAACGAGGTTATCAGCTTATTACAGCCACCCTCTGCGCCTGATGGAGGTAACATGTCACCAGCACCAGGAGCGGAAGACGGATCGCCTACAACGGAGAGTGTTCTAGATCGGTGGACACAATTTTTAACATTCCTCCCCCACCGCTTTTCTGGGACTGAACCCAGACTTTTCAACCTTTGCCTGGGGGCGGTCGCTTCTGCAGCGCTCAGAGACCTAACAACGAACGGAGCAGTCTCATTTGGAAGCTGGTGGGTTGTGAGATGTTGGATAGATGAATGGATGGGATGGCTCGCAGAGCGAGGGGGGTTTCTGCGGCATACTGCCGAGGCGACTGTGCATATAAACCGGGTTAACGAGGACCGAGGCTCGATTGATGTGGATTTAATAGACGGGGGCGATGAAATGGGTCATGATGATAGCGGGATATCTTTGCGTGGGGAGGAGCCACTCAATATGCTGGATGATGTAGGAGACGATCGAGACAACAGGATGGTGCCTGTGAAGTTTGGAAAGTAAGCGTCATGGCGATGTTTTATCATACTGAAGGGCGAAGCGAAGCGGGCTCAATAATTACTCACTTGTAATGGCGTGATCAATTCCTTTGTCTTCTTGTAAATATCAAGGGTTTTTCTTATTATCAAAAGGTTTTTTTTTTTTTTTTTGTGGTATAGGAGACTCGAGCTGACGGCTTGAGCCAAAGTCCGAATAATAATAGGAAGTCTTTCGTGAAACGGGTTTGATCATAGTTTAGATGGACTGGCTTGTCTTTCAAATTCCCCCGCAGTGCACGTAGTATTATACAGTAGACCATTCAAAGGAGGTTCATTAAAAGCTTTATACAGCGCACAGAGAAAATATGCGTGACAATAAGTACTTAGGTACATGCATGTATGTAGCGTAGATGTGCTAATGATCACAGCCTCTTCAAAGTCAGTATAGAGCACTAGATGCTCCACCAAATGAAGTAACTAATCTAAACAATATAACGTAGTCACCTCCAAGTACGCACAACTTTTAATGTGTAAATACATGTATATACCGCCAGTACATGTAGTTGGGTGGACTCTCTCAGTGATCAGGGTCCTGACACGCATTTAAAAAAGGCTAAGTGGTACCACGATGTATTCGATGATTGTGGGTCCATGGCTATGGCAAATTGATAAAGTTGACTGGGTTATTTAGGTACTCTCGCCTATCAACGAAATATGTAGAAACAACACCGCGAAACAATCTCGTTAACCTGGACGGTGGCCCGTTGGACGGCAGCAAGCCAATGACCTCCAAGGTCATTCCGGGAATTGACATGGAGGTGGTTGCGACGGTTGGGCCGCAAAGAACTAGAGGGTCAGAGAACATTCCAGAGGCTCTGTCACTTTATGAAGCATCGAGGAGGATCCCCTCAGGCTTCAGCGCTTCCAAGTGCTCAGTGTTCATCTTCCCACCACCAACTTTTGTGTGCTATATATTGAGACTTTACATAAACACATTCGTAAAAATTATCATAAAATAACCACTATTACTTCTTCCACATACTACCCTTCTACTTGGTGCTGTTCGGCCTCGAAAATTCTAGGCTGTCAGTTAGTTAACCTCGCAGTCAGACTTCATCACACGCTGAGCTTCCTATATCGCAGCTGTCGTCACATCTCACATATCCCCGCTTAACTCTCATTGCCACAGGCGTGGGTGGAGTCGAGATATCCTGCATCTACAAGCATACTATGAATACAGTGATTAAATCCCCACCCACCATCGACAACCAGTAAACGGCTCTCCTGACATCATACCCTTGTCTCTTGCTCCACGCACTTTTTTTTACATATACCTGCACACGAGTCCCGTCGTCTCCTTCTTGCTCTACCTTCTTGGTTTTGAGTTCACGTTAAGTTAATCAGCTGCCGCTTCTTTCTTCCTTTCGCTCTGCATATCCATCGATTCACACAAACAAATAAACTCTCCTTTGCGTGTTCCATTTAAAAAATCACCATGGTGAAAGAGTCAAAGCTGTACGATACATTAGGTGTCAAGCCTGATGCCTCTTCGGACGATCTCAAGAAGGCTTATCGGTAAGTTCTCTACCCACACCCACCCCCACTTCAGAAGATATAATTGGGCGTATATCTCTTATAGAACAGAAGAACATTGCACACATACTGACGACCAGCTTTAAAGAAAAGGTGCTTTAAAATACCACCCGGACAAGAACAAGGACAGCAAGATTGCTTCTGAAAAGTTCAAAGGTATGTCTAACCCCCCCCCCCCCCCACACATTCTTATCAGTGCATGCTCCCTGTAGACTCTGAATAAAGACTAATCCCGAATAGAAATATCACAAGCGTATGAAATCCTATCAGATCCAGAAAAACGAAAAATTTATGATCAGTTCGGTCTTGAATACCTCCTTCGTGGCGGAACATCTTCGCCTCCGCCGCAGAATAGCGGTGGTGGTCCTCATCCATCGTTTGGCCGGTCGGATACCTTCCCAAGCAACTTCCCTGGCATGGGTGGAGGGCGCTCATATTCTTTCACCGGGTCCAACTTCAAAAACTTCAGCTTCAGAAATCCAGAAGATATATTTGCCAGTTTCAGAATGGAAGGGGGGTTTGACGATCTTGATTTTGGATTCGGCTCTGGGAGTCCGCTTGGCGGTGGTGCTAGTCGAGGCGGCGCTAGTCGCGGTAGTCATAGCCATGGGTTCCCGGAACAGAGGTTTGGGACTTCAAGAGGGCCAGAAATGAATGGCAGAAGCAAAACTCCAGAGTCAACAGTTTTGGAGAAGCACATCGGATTTACTTTAGAAGAGTGAGTTTTTTGGTCCATACTTGACTCATTATTATTTCTTGAAAGTCTTTGAGGCGGTTTCATGAAGCTCCGAAATACTAACATTATTTGTAGGTTATTTACTGGTACAAAAAAGAAGCTACGCGTCAAGAGGAAAACTTTCGATGCAGATGGAAAAATATCAAGGGAAGACAAAGATCTTGATATTCCTGTCAAGGCTGGCATGAAAGCTGGATCAAAATTTAAATTCAAGGGTGTTGGGGATGAAATCGATGGATCAAAGCAAGATCTCCACTTCATTATTGAAGAGGCAAGTTGGTCAGAAACCAATTTTTATGGCGTCAGAAATCTAACCAAGTGAAATAGAAACCTCATGAGTATTTTGTCCGTGATGGAGATGATCTAATCATAACACTCCCAATTCCGTTGAAGGATGCTTTGCTTGGGTGGTCGAGGACAGTAAACACTATTGATGGAAAGCAACTGAAAGTAGCACATGCTGGACCAACCCCCCCAACATGGCAGGAGAGCTTCCCCGGACAGGGCATGCCGATATCGAAGAACCCTACTGAGCGTGGTAACCTCATTGTAAAGGTCAATGTTAGTACCATAACCATGCCTAGCTTGCCCTTTCAAATATATGCTAACAACCTGTGGATACAGATCGTTTTTCCTACATCGTTGACGCCTGACCAAAAGAACCAACTCAGAACCATCCTTCCTTAGAGGCTCAGTTTTTATGATTTATTTGTGTTTAATTGTAGCGTTTTTATTTCTAGTTACTATTTACTATTCTTTTTTTGCTTTTTCCTTCTTGTGCAAGGGTTAGGCGTATGCGAGGGTTTTTACTACATAGTTTCTACGCGATCTATCGAAATGAAGGATGAATGATATTGCATCAATTCCTGTCATACTGTCATACTATCATGTTTCCTTAGTCTCTATTTCAAAATGCAAATTTGGATGTATATAGTCTGGATGTAGCCTCACCATAACAGTAACGTAACAGTTACATGTAGTGTACCGCTGGAGGGTTTTGTTTTGAGAACAATACTTTATTTGTTGGCTAGTTTGCTTGTAATGTAAAGTTGTATGTATAGTACTAGGACAGAAGTTTTGGTAATATACCCTTTTTACAGCCAAAGTAGCCATGTTTGGCTACCCGAAACAACCACCCAACCTCATCAAAAAAATTCCAACTATTCAAGGGCAGTTGGAAATTATCTCACGACGGAGTTCAGAGAATTCTAGAATTTTGAGTCCATTCTTCAGGCGTGTGCAATCTAATTTTTAAAGTCATGATTTGATTTTGTATGGTGTTCCCATACAAATTTTGTAACCAAAAGTTACCAAAATTTCTGTACATACAATACTACATGTATCTCCCACCTGCATTTCCCACCTGCGTAATGCCCCCGTTGCCAGACTGCAACGCGGACTTGGGTATTCACGATGTACGCTTGAGCCAGGAAACCGGCACTACAAATCTAATAAAGTAATTACATTGGTCTGAAAGAACACAAAAGCCTTCATTATCAACCCATCGAATAGTGATCTTTCAAGAATTGAATACCCGAGAATAAAGCAATTCGTGACGACCCTGATAAATATCGAAAGTGGGAACCATTTGGCCAGCTTTATCTACACTTGTACGCCCACCTAGGTCTAGTCCGTCCCTGACACACATCCGAGTTGACTCGGCAGCCAGCAAAGCTTGGCCTTGATACGGTCCTATCAAGCTTTGTCTAACAGCCGCAGATAGTGTAGCTTTGGCATGGTTGAACAGGAATAGATAGCATGTAGATTCAAGGTCCAACCCACAAACTTTACAAACCAATCCCCAAGAAATTCCGAAGTGGCCGTTCGCGCGCTCCTCGGAAATCTTCGAGCGAAGCGATTGGCGATAAGTTCCGAATGCTTCCATGTCTGGTGGTGAAGTCGGCAATGATGTTGAAAATGACTTCTCGAAGACGCTTAGAAGTGCGCGGCCTTGTGAGATGCTGGCACGCCGAGCGACGGAGCAAGTAGTAGAAGCGTCAAAGATGTCGTCGAGAATGGACGAATCTATGGGCGTCTTATACGCAGCTATCACAAACGGTAAGGTGCTTGCACTGAGGGAATGGATCGATAAGCGGAGAAAACGTTCAACTGAGCGCCGGGGAGGGGTACGCTGTCCATGTTGGTGGGCAATGTAAGATTCAAGGCCCGATGAGAAGGCAAATGAGCCAAGAGGAAGCGCAGAGTCTGATAGTAGAAGAAGAAAATGTGTCTTCGGCTCGGTTTGTACCTGATGGAGAGTGGACACTTGGGTACCGTGGATAGTAGACACCTGGGTACCGCTATCCGGCTTATTGGAGGCGGCGACGAGCTTGGTCCGCGCATTGTTCAAGCGACTCTCAAGGTCCGCAATTTCGTCCTTGAGGGAAATCAAGCCATCGTTACCAACATCCATTGGGGGAGACTGGGTGGGGGGGGAGGGGGTTCTGTTGAGTTATGTATGTTCTGGTGTAACTCTTCGTCTATCATATCCCACAACCTCTATATACATGTAATTCAGTTTACAGCACATGTAGGTGGTTGATTGTTTCGCGGGGCCAAGTGGCTAGGGCTAGTTTTCGAGCCAGGACCTCTGGTTGTGGAGTTGGGGTTCACAGTCCAAGCGTTAAAAGCAGCTAAAAACACAGGTAGTACTAGTACCTAGAGTACGTGCTTCATACACTCACCAGCAAACACTAGCTTGGGACATATTATAATTTCAACGCGAGTACATTGAAGTACTTAACTATTAATTGAGAATACTTGTACAACGGTAGGTAATAAGTGATGGAACGCCCTGAGATACAGTTATACTACAAACACCGTATGTTGGTGGCGTTTTACCCAAAACAGGTATCACTGTGTCTCAGGCCGTTCCATCACTTATTAGTAATTATATGCTCTGCTGAAATTTCACAAGACCGCGCAACGTTGATACTGGAGCAATTGGTACTACACTAAGTACTGAAAAGGGACACGGGTAGCTTGGTACAATAATATTGGCAATACAGTTGTCAATTATAATGTCGTATTAACAACTACCGCCACATGTCATTTTAATCTATGCACCCGAGTATGGTGCGCCCTCAAAGGTGACGAAAATCGGGCGAAAAGTCAAGCGCTTATAACTTTGCCAAAAAAAAAATTAAAAAAAATCGGTAAATAAAAAGTGTAGTACTAGTGATTAACTTTAGTTTTTATTTCCAGATTTTTGATATCTACTTTAGTTAAAAAGTTATAAGAGTTTGAAGTTGCGGGTTTTGTATGTAAAAGGCGCCAAGACTGAGCAAAGTGGAACAGTATTATACCCATTTATAAACCCTCAAAAGTGAATTGCGGCAGGAATGCAGCAAAGTGGCTAGGAATAAGCCCTCTCATTGGCCTTGGAGTTCACCTTGCAGCCACGATTGTTCCACTTCCAGATATCGCCGTGTCACCTTTAAGAGTGTGCACACCATACCTACAACACGCAAGAAAAATCTGTATACGTTTCACGACCCGAGAAATCCCACAAATATTATCCCTTAATTACATACATGTGTGTATTTACGTACTACGGTCATCGAAAGGGCTTTCAAACCCAGGCCCTCGCTTGCAATGACTTAGTAAAGAAACACAGGGTACGTTTGAGAGGTGCGGCTGTAATAACTACATGCATACATGTATGTACGGCCTACATTAGTATGTAGATCGTAGTTGCAATTGCTACTGTAATTATCATTTTACACTGGATGTAAATGAGTACCGTGATAAAACAAAACGACACCACAAACGCCGTATAGCCTTTTTTCAGAGTTATGAAAAAAACAGCCTCGAATTCCAAAAAAAAGAAGAAATAATCGTTTGTATGTACATTTACTAGTTAATAGTCGCTTATTTTTCAAGAAATGTGGCAAGATTTCAAGGTCATGTATGGGATTTTGGCAAAATCTAGAGTACTAGCATAACCCACATCTCAAAATTTGTAAACCCTAAGCCGCATAACTTTCCATATATTTAATGAACAGAATTGTCCTTTGGATCTATAGAATTCCAATAGATGCTCTTGGATATATCGATAGTATACCTCTCTATCATGAGGCCTCGAGGCTTCCTGGTTAATTGGGAGAAGAAATGACAGTTAGTGACGTTGAATATATATATCATATCAATTTTTGTGTCTAAGACTAGATCTATATATACGTAGATGTAGGTATAGGGCTTCCTCCCTATCATAACTCTCATATACGGTTATTGTGGTCTACGAGACCCCAGAGCCCGAGGCGAGCATAGATAACTACCTCGAGGTACATCAATATGTCGTTTAAGTAGTATAGTAGGTAACAAGACGTATGCATTGCAAGCCGACCTTCTCGAGCAATGTAAGTCGATACCTCGAGGTGCTCGAGGCATTCAAGGAAGGACTATATTTAGATCCGTTGTTGGATTGTACTATTTGACCGCCCAAATTAACTATAATGCAGCTGCGAGTATGTAGTACTAGTACTAACTCAAAAGATTCAAGGAACAAATATAGTTTCATGAATTCAATTGATATCTGAGTGAAGGTACACTGGGGACATAAAAAAGATTAGATAGGTACATGTATATAGTTTGTTATACACATATACATATATATAGGCATGGGGAAAATATATATATCACATCATCTCAATTAGCTATCCATTGGAAAGATCACCTTCAATAGTATCATTATCTAAACCTCGAGCGGTAATATGCCTCATGGACCATATCATATACAATCATTATTGTGATGGTTTTAAACTACGTGTAGGCTACATGTAGCTACATGTTATTTATATCAACTAAAACAATTTCTAATCAAAATCACGCGTACGAGGATACATTGTATAAACACATGAGAGATCCTTTACCGGACGGGGTCCGTCCTGGCATGGAACAGTCAACTTAAAGTTATAAAAACGTTCCATAGATCTACTAATTAAAAATTATCAATTTAAGGCTTCGATGCCATGCATACATTAACGATCATGCACATGTATCGATAACAACATATATGTGTATATATATGTAGGTTTGGTAAGATGTGTTTCACGAAACTATGCAGAAGATACTTACACGTATAATATATATATCGATAGATCTTGCTTTTATGTATTCCAGCTAACATTAATTATAACTGTTCTTCATGATATCTTCGGATCTAAGAGTTAGACATTTACGATTCCAATAGAAGTTTCCCAGGAATATCAGCTACATATATTGCCATAATCTGTTCTCGCTAGGTTGCCCAAAAGAATATTAGACCTACAAATATCCAAATCTCAGTCTGTTACCCGTAGGCAGGCACTTGCACACAATGTTATGGTAGCTAGCTATAGGTATGTACCTACATAAGGGGCCTGTAAAAGACATCCCCATGCCCAACCATTCACATGATCGATCACTTACCCGTTAAAGACATGATCGGTACGTACCCAGGCCTAGGGTTTGGAAAGTGATGCATATTTTGACCTAGCAACGCCCAAACGCCCAAACGCCCAAACGCCCAAATTACTATCAATAGCTATATGTTATCATAACAAACACACTTCCTAAATCCAATTCCAGTGCAGAAATTATCTGCACAAAATACCCACTCCCTAAGCAAGAAGCCATTGTTAGACAGCAGAAGCATGTAGCAAAGACTTGGAAAGCATTATTGAATATATGAAGAGATCTGTATATTCATATCAACCTTGAAATAACCCGGAATGTGCATCGGTTTCGACGTTCTGGGTACATATATCCCCTAAAAGGCATATTTGTAGACACCTTTATAGTATCTTCCTGTCAAAGATGATGGCCATGGCCTGGACAGACGTGAATGCCGCGATAAACAACATTGTGCCGGTAAATCTCCCATGATATACTAGATCAGGCAATTAATTTGATAATATGGAACTGTTAATTTGTCATGATAGAATTCTGAAGATATATATTTCGGTCTATCTCCATCCATCGAGCAGACGCGGTGGTTTGTGGTTGAGTATGAGGTCATATACATGGCCACAGGAACTACTCTATCCGAGTGAAATATCATGACGGAGAATAATATATCAATTCAAGTACGTAGTGTATCATATGAGGAAGTAGGAAGTAGACACAATAGGCACACCATCCTTAGTGGGCAGTGGTTATTATTGTAAGGCTTATTAAATTAGACCATTAATGCAGACTCGTATTCGAGTAACGCAGCCCCTATTCGAAGTAGGTACATGTATGTAGGTAAATGTAGGTACTGAATCCATGGTCGCTGGGTGGCCTCGTAACCAGTCAGTCCCGGTTTTGCTTGAGTGGTACCACGTGACTAGTGGACCCAACTGAGTATGTGCATTATAATTGATAATGACACGTAAATGGATTAGAGGTTACGTTAAAAATGTCTTTCTTAGCGCTAATACGGATACATGTAGAGAAAATTCATGTATATACGAGTACATGGAGGCGCACAGAAGAGTAGAGCAGTGTAGGTACGGTACTTGTATCTACAATTGTGGTCATGCAGATTTATGTAAATAAACGGAGTACGGCAGGTCAAATTTAGAAAGGAGCTGCGCAAATTGCAAAGTTTGCCTAAGTCCTGGCAAGTGGGCAGCCGTGATACATGGAGGAGCTGAAAACCAGGGCCAAATGTCTCTGCAAGTGCAGCACGCCCCCCCACACCTTAATAATGCGCGGCTGGTCAAGGCCACCCGCACACCAGAAACCTTATTCTGCAACTAGCCGGGATTGTAACCCAAATAACGCTCTGTGATCATTTCCTTACTCTTGGCAATTTTAACAATGTGTATATACATGTGTAGTAATACACGGTTACACGTATCTACATACATACGTGTAGTTGATACGCATCTACGTACTTGAAAATTTGTCTCATAGTCCTACTTACTGTGGGTATAGGCTTTTGCTGGCCAAGATTCTTCTCGCAGCAAGTACAAGTAAGATAAATACACCGAAAATGTGTTACCTTATAAAATTTAGTAGAGTAGACCAGGCTAATATAAATTCTTGTGTATGTTGATTGTACGGATGTGTAGTAGTGCATGGTGTACTCCAGAATTCACAGAAGACGGTAGATACATTGAAGTACATGTACTTATATTCATATACCACCAGCTATCGCTGTCAAATGAAATGGTGGTACAAAAAAAGAAAAGAAGAGGAAGAGCCACAACCTACACCATGAGCCTATGGATGATCATGAGCCGTGACCAGCCATGCTCGGCGGATCCCGGTAGTCGAGAAGCCAGGACACCCACTACCTAAAATGCGCTTACATATTAGAATTGACTCTTCTTATATCGGGAGATTTCCGGGCTTGGAGAAAGCAAGCTGTCGTCCTCTAGACACCTGCAGCACCACAATCTCCAGAGATCTGTTTCTCGTTAATCGTCACTCCCAAATCTTACTCCTCTCATCCAGGGTATAGAAAATATCCTCTTCATTCGTCTGATAGTCAATTCACCTCTGCTAAATCTCTTGGACCTTTTTATCTCTTAATCTTACTATCTCTACCTGCTAAGTTCTCTATCTTCTTTACCCCAACCATCATGGGTGATATAGCCAGAGTTGATATACAATATGGTGGGAATAAAATGTCACCTGGGTCGTTTGCATCGAGTATATCGCTTGCTATGGTCGCCATTAGCGTTGTGAGCTTTTGTCTAGCTAGGCGGCTCACAAGTGTGCGCGATGTGAGAAATTTGGCCCTGGCTCGGTGGTGTTAGTTTCTTCATCTTAATTACAATCGATTTTCTACTATTTAACTAATTGATAAACTTCATCTACATGTAGTAATTCTGGCTGTATTCTTCGATAGCTGGCTGTTCGTACTGTCCAGTACTATCTTACAAGCAAGCTTTGGTCTCAATAGTAGCCACCAAGCTTGTGATACCGGAATCCTTTTATGCCTTGTTTGCTACCTTAGTTCCAAAGTTCTGTTATATTTCTTCTTGGTTGAAAAGGTATTTGGCATAACTTACTTGATTCCTATTAAATATATGTTGACTTGAATAGGTACATGTTATACGCGGTAACAATGACTCCCGCTGGAAAGACAAGCTGTTCGTATTTAATTGCTTCGGGATGATGCTTCCTTACCTTGTCATCATTGTTTTGACCTTTATATAGTAGGTCATCAATTACTGGTATACCAGCTATTTCGGTCACACTGATATTTTCGTTATATATAGTCGAAATGCTGTAATAACTGAGGATGGAGAATGCAAGATTGGTCTGAAACTTCCTGCTAATATACCACTCCTGATTTTTGACTTCGTCATAAACGTACGAGTTTACTACTCTCTCTATTTTATAAGACTACATTTAGCTGATAATATCGACATTACAGGTTTATTTGACATATCTCTTTTTAAGACCACTACATGGTATGAATTTTGATTCTTAGAGAGGTCCTAATCAAGTGCTTCTGGCGCTAATGTTGTTAGGCCTTTATACATTCAATAATGGGGTCAAAACTAGACAAGCCCGCCTTCATCAAGTTGCCTTACGCACCTTTATCGGGAGTTGTTTGACTCTAGTCTCAACTCTTGGGTACGTCTACGGGATATCCTTTTCCCTTTTTGTTCTAGTGTCTTGTCTGTTTCTGACACCTAGAAAGTAACCTAATATCTCTCATTATACTCCGCGGAAGAGAGCCTGGTTGGGTGTGCTTTGCTGTCTGTAATAGTGACAGTATGTACCCTTTCATCCGACTTGCATAACTTCGATTATTGACCATAGATGTTTTCTAGTCCTTTTCTCAGTATTGGTGCTTCATTGGGTTACCCACCAAGATGATGTGGTTTCACGCACTTCTCGTTGCCACGTATGTCTAAGAACTATTGTAGACCAATATGGGCAATCCTCTATCAGCCAAGGGTCAGCTTTTAGGGATCTAAATCTTGAAAAAAGGACGCCATGCTCTGGGCAAGTCATCACGCAGATTGAGGCGGGTTCAAGTACATGTCGACACCCAGGGTCAATTCCACTTGATGGCATAATGACGCACACCGAATTCACTAGAGACGTAGAAAGTATCGGAGCATCTGAAACGGAGGTAGCAGACAGAAATAATTCAACTGACTACATCCGCGAAGGAGATAAATGAGCTTCTCGGTATCGATCTTGAGGGGGTCCTTGAATCTATTGATGTAACTACAACTCTTTTACTTGGCTCAATTTGAGGACGATATCTGACGACACAGCAGGTTGTTATATGCTTTTTTAAATATAATATTTCGTCTTTCTGGGCTTTGGAGCTATGGAGTTTTATTTTGCTTCTTTCTTCCTACTTATTCGAGGAAAGGTCGTGTTTTTAGTGGTCCTGGGCTTGATTTAGTGCTTATTTTAATTGTTTGTAAAGATGGGGTTTATTTTAATCCCTTACCTTGCACATAGTCCAATTTGTTAAGTAATCAATCAATCAATCAACCTTGCACATAGTCTCGGCAGTTTTAGCGAGTGAGAATTCATAATACAGACCACGTACAAGCTTGAGTCTACCCGTGGCTGAACACTTGAGTACTTGAATCATAAATGGCCCAGCATTCTTATATCTGTGTGGTCAGAATAAAGGGCGTTGCGTTTGCGGCTAGCACGAAACTTTCCGAGTCCGGTTTTCTTAACAGTTGTTGAGCGCTAGTTCTTGTCCTATGCCTCTGCCTCGAATTTTATAAATATGTCGTAGACAGGTAATTTATGCAATAGACATTATGGAAAAGGGATTTTTAAGTGAGCCAAATGATCCAAGAGATACTACAAATAGTGAAGCGGATATCTACTGAGTGGTTAATTCTATTAGATGCTCACCATATCTTGTGTTTGGGCTATGGGTATCCGTCTCGCTCTAACAAATGGCGCGCGAACTAAGCAATAAGAGCCGCTATGGGCCGAGTGATGCCCTGTGATTCACAATCACCCTAAGTTATTTACCCGAGTTCTCTATCAGCAGAGGGTGTAGCCGATATAATATCGAAGGCTACATTTATACGAGAACTGAATGCTTTACTAAAATGAATCCTCTATAATTATCATTGCTACGCAATAGGGTCGGCGAGATGTTTTGACCCTCATGATTATTTACCTAAGCGTATCTTACTACAGGTATAGTTTTAGGACATAACACCTCAAGTGGCTAGTTTATCAGCTAATTGGGATATATTTCTAATAATATATACGATAGAAGGTTTCACAGCGTTAAACGACCCTATGATCTGTCTATATAGTACTACAATACAGTGTTTCTCAAAAATAAGAAGCTAAGCCGTTTTCGGAATTGGACAGGGGTTGATGACAGGGGTGCAGAGGTGCGGTAACAATAGTATTTTTATGGAATGGGAACAGGTTGGGGAGGTAGGGTAACCAAAGAAGAAAAAAACCCGGTTTTCAAGGGATGGGTAACTACACCTTCTTGACCACAAATTTCATTCCCCACCATCTTTCAATTCAATTATCTTAACAAAAAGCATCCATACCTCACAATCATGTCTACTGCCAAATGCTCCCAATGCAAGCATGATAAAGCCATTGCGGAATATGATAGAAACCGCCGCGGTTCTCTTTTGAGATCATGTAGAGATTGTTTGGTATGTATCTCTGCAACAACCAATAGAAACATTATTTGACAATTTGCAGAGAAGACAAGCGGAGATGAGACAAAGACATGCTTCTTTGCGAGCCGGGCAAACAGTAGAAACATTAGAGGTATGTACTATAATACTTAAGAATTGCATCTTATAAATGCTTACAACTTCTGTTGATAGCTATCCCCATCCAGAGCTGTAAGACAAGGAATACGTTCTGCCTTTCCTTGCGCATTTCTCAGTTCCCGTTTACAATGGAAAGAATTGAATATGGGCTCAATGACGATCGTTTGCGAGTCCTGTTCAGCTTTGCATTGGATTGATGAGCGAATTGCAGCAAGTTCAAGGATAAAGCCACGCTTTGAAATCTGTTGTAAAAAGGGAGATGTTCAGCTGTTACCTTTGCAAGCACCACCTCCGTATTTACAATATCTTTTGCAGTCTCCTGATCCGGTTGCAAGAGGATTTCGGACCAGTATTCGTGAATACAATGCTGCACTCACGTTTACATCGGTAAAATATACTGCTGATCAACGGGCTCCAGCGCAAAGTGGTGGTTTGCAATGTTTTCAAATCCATGGAGAGCTTTACCATATGCAAGGACCATTACATCCACAACAGAACGCCTCACCAAGCTTTACACAGCTATACTTTTACGAACCTGAGTATGCAGCTGGTGTACGACATGAGGCACATCCCAACCTTGATCTTACCATATTGCAGAGACTTAACTCGAAAACAATTTCCTGTAAAATTGTGTTTTGCAATGACAGTAAATAAGGCACAGGGACAATCACTTGACATTGTAGGTATCGATTTACGAACTTCATCTTTTACCCATGGACAATTGTATGTTGCTTTGTCAAGGGCAACAGACGTCAATAAGTTACGAATCTTGCAAACAGAGGAGAGGGGTAGGGAAACTGAGAACATAGTGTATCCGGAGGTACTGTTGAGGGGATGAGAGTTGCACATTATAGAATACCCCTTACTGTCTTATATCTTTCAATTGCAGTGAGTTACGGCATTTATTACACTGTTGCAGGAACAAATCAAAGCTTACAATCACATACAACTCCTTGCATAAACTTGCAGAAAAGAAATATCAATTGTAATCAGCTGTAAGATAGTTGCGAGAGTTGCAAACACAAACTTTCTATTGTTAAAGCTATTGGAAATGTTTCTAACTAACTTAGAGTCTGATTACATTTAATCTTCCATTTCGTTCACGATATCCTCAATTGCATCAGCCACTCCCTCCACCGCTATCAAAAGCCTCCACCATTTTTCCTTGGTAGTGGACCGCTTCCTCTTTGCAACTCTCCTATGCCTGTCTGCACCCTCCGCAGTAACTGTAGAAGAGCTTGCAATGAGTGCAGAGCGTTCGCGAGGTTTAATTTCTATTGTATATGTTTGTAAGTCACTGTAAACACATTGTAAGACATTGTAGGAATTGTAAATTACATACCAGGACGAAAATTGCAATATTTGCCTTGGCTATTGTAGTGGCAATTGGTGCAACTACCTGCAAACATACCCTGCACAGTTACACATTCAATAAAAGGGCCCTTACCGTCAGTACAACAGTCACAAACTGCCTCTGCAAGTTCACCCCTGCTGTATCCCAATATAGCCTCAACATTAACTGGCCTTGCCATATTAAGACCCCTGTCTTTCTTAACCATAACAGGTCTAATCCAATCCATACTAGCCAATTTCTTAGCAGTAGCAGTATTGGTAACACCACCCATTACTAATGCCTCAGCAGCTGACTCATGATACTGAATGGGGCGGGTTTCGGAAGGCTTGGCGCCAAGCCTTCCGGATTCGGAAATCTTGGCAGTAGGGGTGCCGGAATCAGAAGGCTTGGCAATCGGCTCGGCGGTATCGGAAGGCTTGGTAATCGGCTCGGCGGTATCGGAAGGCTTGGCAGCAGGGGTACCAGAAGCAGAAGGCTCGGCAGCTGGCTCGACGGTATCGGCTTGCTTGGCAGCTGGCTCGGCAGGAAGCTCGGCGGTTTTAGACCTCTCGGCGTTCTTAGAAGCCTTGGCAGCTCAGGTGCGCTTGGCGGGAGGCTTAGCGATAGGCTTGGCGGTGGCGGTAGGGGTGCCAGAATCAGAAGGCTTGGGAACCGGCTCGGCGATTTCGGTAGGCTTGGCGGTTTCGGAAGACTTGGCAGAAAGTTATGCGGTTTTAGAACTCTCGGCGGTTTTGGAAGCCTTGGTAGCCCGTGTGCACTTGGCTGGAGGCTTGGCAGCCGGGGTGCGCTTGGCACGAGGTTTGGCAGGAAGTTTGGCGGTTTTATTGCTCTTTGCAGACATGATGGGGGTAGTAGTAGTAGACATTGTTTGTGGATGATGAATTGTTTGTTGATGAGGATGAATGAAGTGGATAAGAGAAATTTTCTGGCTCTATTTATTCATCATTGGAGCAACAGTAACCCGCCCAACTTGAAGTTGCAGCAGTAACCCGCTGTAATGGCAACTATGTATTTCGGCTAGGTGATAAAACTGGAATGAGGGAAGGAGGTATTGCGCAGTGGAATTAAGATTTGTAATGGGGATTTCTGTTATGTTCTTTGGGTTTCTATTACGCGAAGGTATTAGTCATCGTTGGATTATGGATGGATATATAAGGGGGCGTTGTTTTGTGTTTTTGTCTGTTTTCCTTCTTCTCTTCTTTCCTTACGTAACCTCTGTATTTATTCCACGAATACTATTCTTTGTCCGCACTACGTCATAGGGCTCCAACCGGTTTATCATACCAGGTAGAGCCACCCCATAGCCCATAGTCAAAGTATACCTTTATATCTACGTCCACGTCCACGTCCACGTCGCTACCTAGGTTGTATTCCTTGGCACCACAGTCTATCGCCTATAGTCCCCGTGATACCCGCCCACTGGCGTGTTTCCAGAACCCTCCTTCGCGGTCGCGAAGTGGCCACTGCTAGTATGCAAGTACTGTAAATTATGGTATTAAGGACAATTGGGCGACGATTAATCGACCCTCACAAAATCTACTTGGCATATCACTGACCTCACTAATGCTGGTGCCAAGAGTCTGGCTACTAAGGGCCCGTGGTTTCAAGTTGGTTGTTTCCGTTACCTGAAGTTCTAGATTATTCAAGTTGTGGTTTTAGTTTTTCTGGATTATTCACCTGTTCGGCTGCCAAAGGCTTTTCGGGTTTTGAAAAACAGGAGGTGATTCTTCAAATTAGTGTTTATTCAATAATCCAGTACTGTTGTGGTATTTGATGCCGAAGAGTACAGAACTATTTCAAAATATAACCACAAAAGTACAGAAAATAACCTAGTGAGTTCAGTCTATCGAATGGACCCGGACGGGGTCTAATTGATCTAATAAATCCTACACCCAAATACTGGCCATCCATTACGTAAGCGTGTCAGCGCCGACGAACTATGGGACAGCAGTGAACATTGTAACATAAATCACTCCCGGTATATATGCGCATTACGCCGGTGCCGCTTATATATTATAAGTGAAAGAAAAGGTTTGAGTAAGTAACTCAGGGTAGACGTTTAATAATGGCGCCACATACAGATGAAGCTTGCGGGACCCAGTTCTCATGGTACATACGTACATAATCATAAAATATAAGAAAACAATACGACGTGGTACTAAGTAACCCAGGCCCGTCAAGCCAACGGCCAGCACGATACTGTGGAAAAGCTACTATGGACTGTCACGGGTACCCCTGCCGCAAAGAACGTTTGGAACCAATTTCTACGATGGAGACACCGATTGGAGAGGAGACAGAGAGACGGAAAGCGAGCCAAGAGAGCTGGGAATGGATCGAGGTAACCTAAGGGAAGAATGACACTGGGGCTAGGACAAGGAAAAGGATAAATTGTTTAGAGACTGCTACAAAGGTTTTATATCTGCATACGCACTTTCTTTGGTTTTGCTTTCATTTTCATTTTCATGTTATTTGGTATGTCAGATATTGTCATAGCCTCCGGGCTGCATACAATTAATGAATTATAAATCAATCAATCAATCAACCCAGGCCCGTCACAACAAATCACTCGATCAAAGAGACAGTCTACTATTATTCGAACCCTTGGTTTCCACGTGATTTCCCACGTGATTGAGCCATTCACATGATGAATTAAACCGACCTAGGGCCAAACCGAATCATTGCGTCATCACCTCGGGTACCATGGTGCATAACATCATTTCTGCCCTGCTTTCCAAACCTAAGCTTTGAGGTGTTAAGCGGCTAAACAATTTTCCGTACAACGGATTAAGCCAGAAAAGAGCCAAGCTCTTGAACACCCAGTATCCATCATCACCCAGCGAGTGACAGCATTGACATAAAATTTAGTATATTTACTTTGACTCCGTAAGTTTCATGTGGAGCGAGCTCCCTATGTATGTACCAAACATTGGGCCCTATCCTGCACCACTCAAACGAGCTGCCAAATATATAGTCAAGGAATAATTGTATGTAAATTGAATACGTGTGCTATTCTCGGTACTGTGGGCAGAGTGAACTTCCTAATACGCCGAGAAATGAAGGATCAATCAAGATTCGATGTCTGAAAGCAAATTCACAAGCTAGCATTGCCCTTGAATGAGAACTGTGTGATCAAAGACAGAAAATGAAATGAAAAGAAAAGAAAACCTTGTAACGAAGAAGATAAGTAAGTAATAAACCAATGCCTCCAGGGGTTTCCCCTTTTGCCTTGAACGCCAGACTAGAAATCTCCTGCGTGGGAGAAAATCAAATTACAAAGAACAGATAGGTTACAGATAGAGGACGAATCATAATGTAGGTGTTGACGGAATTCATGTTAGACACTTCGGGTAGATCTCATGCTGCTGGATCGTAGGTAAAAGTCGTCGGTAGTATTCAAGCGCCTGGCGCCTCAAAACCATTGGCTAAATTCCTAATGGGAATGGTTCTTTAGATGCTAGAATTTTCTATACGAACGTTGAATTATGCCAATATTGAACATACCTTCCTCACCTGCTTTGCAGACCTTTATCTCTCTGCCCCATTCGGACTTTAAAACCTGAGAAGCTGTGATTCGCCTTGTAGGATTAGGATCGAGGATTGAATATATCACATTCCGACATCTCGCCTGAGCATGAATCAGTATTTTTAGATTGGAAGAGGATTTAACTGTAGGCTCACTCGATGCAGATTTTCAATCGGTGCATAGCCGCCCTCGTCTTTCCTTCCCTCCAAGTATTTCTCAAAGAATTCATCCTCGTCTTTCTTCGCAACACGCCATAGATGTCGCCCAGTACGCATTGCCATGTATATAACACCCGTGGCCCAAACATCTACCGCCCGAGGATCAAATTCTTTATCCGTATACTCTTCCGGCGCAATATATGGTGCCGAGCCACACAAGCCACAAGTCATATGGGCTTCTTTCTCCCAGGCCATACGAAAACACTCTCCATTACCAAAGTCAGTAATTTTGAGTGCACCGGTCGTCGTGAGTAGAAGATTCTCTGGTTTGAGATCCCGATGAGCCACGCCCATCTCGTGCATGTATTCCACACCACGCATTAACTGTTTGAAATAACAATCTGCTTCTGCTACGTCAAGTTTCCCCGCCGCAAGAACTAGAGTGTATAGGTCCCCTCCAGCACAAAACTCCATTACTTCACAGTAATCTCCCTTTGCATCCTGTAGTAAGTCAAGGGTATGAATGACATTCGGGTGCCGCAACGAAGATGAGATACAAAACTCAGAGGTCAGTCGTTTGTGGTACTTTCTGGGCGATTCCTGGGGTCGACGGCGAAATTCTTTCACTGCGTACAATTGTTCAGAGTGGCCGTTTTTAGGGTCAACCTTATGCGAGATACGAACTATGCCAAAAGCCCCACGGCCAATGATTTCCTGACATTTTCCATACTTTTCAACAAGCGTAGCTGTAGCATTCGGGCCTCCCTTTTTATCGGTTGCAAGCTTTTCTTTCTCATTTTTGAGTTGATCTACCCAAGTAGACATAAGGCTCAGCCGATCATGTTCGCCGCTGTGATCCTCTTTCCGTTTTCCAACAAGCAAATCCCGAAGCATATCTGATAATTTCTCTTGCCGCTTAGCACTGCGTAGGTGGTGTTCATGAGAGCCATCTGCGAATAATTGAAAACGTTTTTGAGATACGGGAAATATTCCGTTCTTAGCTTCTGCGATCGAGCTCGTGATGGCCGGAGTTTGTTTCTTTTCCGTTAATGATGGTTGCCGAGCAGGGACTTGAGGCCTTTCTCGCTCCCGGCCGCTTTCGTTATCCGAGGTGGCCCCTTCAACGACGTGTCGATCGCGTGAAGCAGGTTTACTTTCGTCCTTGACTTTCCCGCCACTTTGCGAGAACATGCGTTGCAACCTAGAAGATATCGTTTTCTTTTCTCCAGCGGTGGACGGCGTTGCTGTACCTGACGCCGAGGCTGATCCGGGTAAAGAGGACAACCCTGACACTGAGGCGATTTGCCCAGGTATAGGGTAGATAATTGGCGAGGACGCGGCTGAAGGTGTAGCGGAGGAGATGGAGGACGACTGTCGCATATTCGTTGGCGAGGATCGACCGTCAAGAAGAGAAGGAGTTTTATTATTATTATTTGAAGTGATATTCGAGATGGCTGTAGGAAGAGTGGATTGCGCTTGCTTTGCCTGCAGCGGCGGTTCCATCATTGTTATTGATGTAGCAGTAGTATGTGAGGGAGGAGAGTGGGAAAGTGAATGGTGGCGATTGACAAGCTTTTCTGCACTAGATGGAAAAAAACAGTGCTATGGATAGTCGGGCAAAACTTTCCGGAAGCGGGCGAGATTGAAGTTGGAACTGGGACAACGGAGACAGTCACGATGGCGGAGGGAGTGCGGCGAGAGAGAGGAGGACACAGTGAATTGTAATAAAGTTTGAGAAGGAGGAGGGAGGGGAACGTAAAAAGAGGCAATGACGGTGGGGAGAACAAGATGACGGCAGGACAGGAAGAAAAGATGATACAAGAACAGGGAGGGGAAAAGAAAGAGTAAGAAAGGGAAGAGGGGAAGTAAAAGGAGCTGGGGGTAGACAAATGGAAGAAGTTGGAGAGGGTTGAAACTGATTCAAGAATCTAGAAATAACTTGTGTATTGGATTATAAGTGCTCTGGAGGGGGAAAGAAGGAGGCTGTGAAGAGGAGGGGACGCAGGCGAGGATTGGCCAGATGGCGGGGGAGGTTTTGCAGAATTTGTGAGGAGGGGAAATTGTATGAACGAACGACGCATCAGAAACAGACAAGCTGCCACAACGATAACCGATCACAGCTGTGGTCCTACAGATACATGTATGCGCGTGTGGGTAGATGATATTTAACTAATACTAGTAATACATGTTTGAATAAGTCAAGTCTACTAAGTTCATAAACTACATGTACATCCAGTACCACTTATTGCAATACCTACTTATGTGTGTAGTGCAGATGCAGCCAGAGATGTAGGTATGTATGTACATGTAGGTATATGTATCCATAGTCCCCAAAAAGCGGGTGGGTTTAGTACGAGGGTGCTGTAATGCTACGGTATTTATACAATTCCGTATTGCTATAGTGCCTGTGTAGGTACATAATTAAAGGCTGAGACTCGTGTGACTGATCAATGGATTGGAGCTGGTTTTGATAATACAGTAGTACATGTTCCGTTGTAATGATGACAGTGATGAAGGGCTAGTCGTATCATTAACCTGTGTTTTTGCAACTTCAAATATGAAGCACTCGGTTCATACCCATTTGTTAGAAGTACTGTATCATAGAAGTCAATGAGGAAGAGCCTATGGTTAATTTCATGTATACCCGTAACTAATGCGCAGAATTTGCATGTACTGATAGATACAGTTTCTGCCGAGAAGTCTATAGTAGTGGACAACTTCCCGTAGGCTATGGGATGGTTCTATCGATTCTATCCGTTCTATTATATATCGACCGTTGAAAAATGATTGCTTCGGATAGGATAGAGAAAGTTGAAATCTTATTCAATCAAAGTATTATTTCATTGGGACGAGGATGAGAGAAGTTATAGAACCTGGAAGTCGGATAGAAAGTCTTCTATTGACTACCTCCAATACCTAACAAGGTGGACTTTAATTCATTTCGTAAGGTCAGGAGAGAAAGGATGAGAATATATAAAAAAAAACTGGAATATGTACGATGTATGTACATACATGGACGTGTGGTTTTTCTTCTACATAGATGTAGAAAAAGTACCATCGAATACCTAAACTTTGGTACTCGTGCCAACGAATGTTCGGCTTACAAGGGTCGATTTAACGTTGTAACAAACGTCCGCATCCACCTTGTTGAATAAGGAAGTTGGGCACAAGGCCGCCCTGTCCAGATATCCACCGTCTAACATAAATCGCTCATAAATACGTTGAGTTACGTGAACAGGCAAGTGTGCATAATTCATTCCCGCAACTGCGGCACAAAAAGCTAGAAAAGATATCGTCGCTTGCGATAGGTTTTCGGACTCATCGGCAATAGCTCTCCGATAAATTTCCAGAATTCTTAGGGAACCTTCACCGCCTACATGTACACATTCAGCGTAAAGGTATTGGTTAACGCTTTTGCATATACTCCCAATGAACATTACAAATAGAAACCCTCGTGCTAGAAAGTTTGCAAACTTCTTTGCAAAAACTATGGGTCTTTGAACTTGTACAAATATCCTTCCAATTCTAAAAGAAAGAAATTAGAATCTCCAGTAACGAGTTTCCCTTATAATGTCTGTACATTATTGAACCATACCATAACAATGGTACTATGCTCGTATTTCAAAACCAGAGAATGAGGTATTCTTTCGCCCAGATCCAAAATGAAATTAATAAGTAATTGATACTATATTAATTATCCAAATATGGCATCAATTACTTATAAATGAGACTCGGTTTATTCCACCAATTTCGTAAGGTAAACATTCGCCGTTTGACCTTGCTCTCGATGTATGCGTGCGACATCATTTCGATATGCTTCTTCGTATACATTCTCATTTGTAAGTGCAGGCGATTCACTGACAAACTCGGTATCCTCAGGCATATGGTAATCACTTCCAGTACCAATGTGAAGCAGCAGTGGTGGTTCATTAAAGGGGGAAACGGCCTGAGCTTTCCCTCCGTTTTTCTTTATCAAACTCCCTTCCATATCAGAATCAATAGGATCAGTAGTTTTGACGTTGACACAATTAACATCGTCTCTTTGTTCGGATTCCTCAGGTAGATATTCGGACATGTCCGTATCTTCAAGCTCGATAGCCGAGTCCAACCGCCTAGGTTTATCTGGCAAAGCCTTGGCAACGCTCTCCATCGATATGGCCTTGCTCTCGCCAGATACTGCTAGCTTTTGCTCAAGATGCTTCCTGTTATCCGTGTTTAAACTTCTAGATCGCTGTGGTAATTTATCGTTGCTTAGGTCTGATATAGAGTGCGTGTTATCCGGCGAACGCGATAGGGGCCCTTTTGAGCGTCTAAACGTTAGACGCTTAAGTTTTTTGACAGCCCTAACCTAGATTCTCGTATTAATACAGTTCACCCTAGAATATAGGCGTCAAAAACATACAACCGCCATAACGTTTCGGATACTTTTAGTAATGGCCGACGCCATTTCCTGTTCACTAGGTGAGGAGATGACATTTGAGGTGTTTTCCTCTGCGGATAACAGCATATCCTCCCCGCCCCTGGTAACCCACGGATGTTCCTTTGAAAGAATTAGAGGCTTACGTTAAAGCTGGTATATGGTGATACTTACCCGCAATTCTGACATAGTTATTCTCTGGTCAGGGTTCTTTTCAAGAAGCCGTAGTAGAAGATTCGCGAGAGTTGGATCTAAATTTTCGGGGATGAATACTCTGGAATTGGAAAAGGTTAATAGAAGACGGTTCGCGAGGTTCTTTGGAAATCCTTACTGCTCGTTCTTGATAGCTTCGTATAGTTCAATGACGCCAGAGTGATTGAATGGAAGCTGGCCGAATAACAAGCAATAAAGGGTCACCCCCATAGACCAGATATCCGCAGCTGTTCCGCTGATATCTCCATGACCGGCATAACAAAGCTCTGGGGGAAGAAAAGCAGGGCTGCCCGCTGATTTGGCCGTCATCATTGGCGACCTTTTCTCGAACATTTCGCTCACGCCAAAGTCCACAATCTTTAAAACATCATCTTTCGACAATAGTAGATTATCAGGCTTGATATCACGGTGTACAATTCCTTGAGAGTGTACTAGAGAATAGTGAGTATATCATATCATAAAATGATGTGAGAGGATGGGACCCCACAGTATTCAATTCCTAGAAGCATGTCCCGAAACCATAGCCTGCACTTCTCCTGCGAGTAGGGTTCAGCTACTTCATCCAAACCGACTTTCATAATCACGCCCTTTTCACACATTTCCAAAACGATGTACAGAGAGTCACCCTCAGGATCATCCAGGACTTCAATGAGTTGAGCAACGTTTTCGTGGTCCAGTTTTTTTAGAATTGCAATTTCCTCTCGAATTAAATAGAGAGGGTTGCCGGCCTCTTCTTGGTTATGAATGTCAGAAGCCGATTGCTTGTGCGAAGGCATGGCGAGCAGTCCACCCCTTCGTTGGGCAGCGTGGGGTCTTCGTAAGATATGGGACTGGGATCTCTTGCGAAGACGAGATTTTGAAAATTCTTTCATCGCCTGATAATGAAAAAAACCACATTTAGCAAGCTGAACGAATACAACCAGGAGCGTAAATATTGGCTTAGATAAAGGCGAGAGGTCTCACATATCGCTTCCCCGTCTGATCCTCTACTAGGTGGACGGCGCCGAATGATCCACGGCCTATCTCTTGCTTAATAGTATACCTAAGAATCAACACTTTGTAAGAAATGAGCATATTAAGTTTTGTGTGGTGACTAGGCATACTGATTTATCCGAGCACCCTGCCCCCCGTCTTCCTCGTCATCGTAAGTTAGACACGCATTCAATGTTTCGCGTATCGGTGGTCTACCGACTGAGGCTGTTCTTTGGTGGTGTCTCAGTGGGGACTGAAGTGAAGGTGTAGAAACATGCCGGACCACAGGGTGTCTAATGGGCTGTGACTGACCCTCAGAGCCATGAGCGTTATCGATAGCGGGGTTCTGAGGTGTGCCGGTGCAAGTGTCCCTCACCACACCTGGGAATGAAAAGGCAGGAGCAAAGGCAGATATGCCCATGAGGAAGGCAGTTGTACAGGATGAAGGGAATATGGAGCGAGAGCGAGAGTAGAGAATACCGCAGTAGTCTAGGTCTAAGCTGTGTATAATCGATAGGTATTAGATAGGGTAGCAGAAGCTATTGATACTAGGTGATACAGGCACATACGCACCTATCAAGGACGATGTTTAGATTACCTAGCTTACTCAGATAGGAAAGTCTCTTGGCACAGCAGGTGACGGCAGCGGAGAAACCCGTTCTTTCCAGTAATACGAGTGATACATTGTGAATCGGGTATTTTAGTTCTGGGCAGCGCGGTGTTGATGGTTGCGCTAGAAGTACCAAACCATACATAAACGCAAAGAGTTTACGCTTTGCTGAATTGGAATGATGAGGATAAACCGATTAACGACCCTGGAAGAGGGTGGGATAGACCCTGGCCATGTGGAGGATTTCGTTTGTCTATTTACGTTTGATGGTTTGATTATTATTTTCTTTCCTTC